TAGTAAATAAGCTTCCTGAAGAAGCTTATCCATATGAGACTCCGCCGTAAATATGTTTATCTATTTAGTACTCTATTGGAAATAAGTCTCCTAAAGAAGCTTATCCTTTCGGTACTCCGTTATGGATAAATATTACCCATGGTAGAAGATTATCTATATCTGACACAACAGCTTAGAGTAGCAGCTTACACAGCAGCTTGCAACAGCAGCTTGCAGTAGCAGCTTACACAGCAGCTTGCAGTAGTAGCTTACACAACATCTTTCTTTCTTCTATAAATAGAGGAGAATTCAGTTCATTATGTACATAAGTTTGAAGTTTGAATAATATATCAGTTTCTCTCTATACTTGTCTTTACTTTACGATTTTTATTTTATAACATGACTTAGTCTCCTTACTCTTCTATATCTTTTTTTTCGCAAATCGCCAACAGTTTGTGTGACTGGAGCAGCTGGATTTATTGGCTCTTGGCTTGTTATCAAACTCCTTCAACGTAGCTCTAATGTTCACACTACTGTTCGTGATCCTGGTAATTATTTTCTTTTTTTCCTACAGTAACCTATTGTCAACTCGTACGTGCGGAGCTCCGAAATTTATGTGACATATTCTTTTTAATATGTTAGAAAAAATGACAGTACGCTCCTAAACTTAAAAATAATTAACTTTTCACTTCACATTTTTATGAGAATCTTTTATAATCGTAATATGTTATAGTATAATTAAGGCCACAACTTTCAAAAGTGTTAAAGCTATACACACATCCAGTAACATATTTTAAACCACAAATTTTAATTTCTTTTTTTATTATTTTCTTAAATATCACACCAATTCAAACAATATCATCATATAAATGACATGAGTTGTTTTGGAATGGAAGAGAACAAGAACAAAGTGAAACATCTTTTGAGAGTTGTCAAAACTCAAAAGCTGATAGCAACCTGACGCTGTGGAAAGCGGAATTGACAGAAGAAGGAAGCTTTGATGAAGCCATTCATGTCTGCCAAGGAGTATTTCATGTGGCCACCCTATGGATTTTGAATCCAAGGACCCCGAGAGGAGCGTAATATCTAAGTATAGTGACAGAGTCAGGATTTGTTTTAACAGAATTCAAAATATAAAGAAATATATATAAGAAAAGCTCAAGGGGCCCTATAGTTGAATATCTATTAATATATACATAAAAATAATTCTGGTTACGAGGGGCGGCTTAATAAGTTCGGTGGCCTAAAACCAAACTTTAATGGAAGACCTAAAATAATTCCTATATATTTTTATTTGAAGTAGAGTTTTCTGCCTTTTTGAGAATAAAAATTTTAATTATTTTTTGCATAAACCATTTAATATCTCCATTGACATTATTGATCTAAGGTAATAGAACACGATTCAAAAAGTTAATAATTTTATATCACAATAATTTTTTGATATTTCAATATATTTGTTGCAGGAGACCTGAGAAAAGAAAAATGGAGTTTCAACTCTAAAAGTGTATTACTTATTTTCTAATGATAAATGTACTTATATCTTTATATAAACATTTTACTTTTCTACTTTGAAATAATTAATATTATCTAAAAATGATTTGGGCTCTCACAAGAAGAGTTGTAATGGGATGGATAGGATATTTTTTTTCTTAACCGGAGGTATTCGATTCGAGTCTTGGGAATCAAAAAATTCTTTCTAGAGAGCGGTTTCAATTTTAATGGACTTTAAACGATACGAACTCGAATTATTCAAGGCTTCAAATCAAATACGAGATATCGAGTAGGAATTAAAAAAAACATCGAGGCCCCTAAAATCCTAAAACCCCCGCTTTAGTGGCGTGTGTAATTTTTCCACTAAAGAATTGAATAAACCCCTTGTGCAATCCTAGCACCGCCTTTGTCTATATATCAGGCCTAAAAACCCATATCACTTAACACAGTGGCAGAGACATCCTCTAGGCTCTAGTAAAGGGTGTTACTCGATCTTTGAGAAACACTTCGGGAAAAACAAATCACTTACATATGTGTACAAATAATTCTGAAAATAATATGTATATATACAATGGTCCAATATCACTTAAAAATAATAGAAAATATACATTGAATTGAGCAATGAAATAAAGTTTTAAAACTATCGTAGTTCGGGACCCAAACAAACCTATAAATTGTATTGTGGTAGTAGGCCACGGAGTATGGACTTGACGTGCCAAGTAATTTTTTATTTTTTTTATTTATCTTGTGTAACATGCACGTAATATATGTTTGACAGAATGAAGTAATCAAACCAACAATCCGTGGAATATTAAGCATAATAGAATCATGTGCGAAAGCCAAAACAATAAAGAGGCTGGTTTTCACTTCATCTGCTAGAACTGTTGACATCCAACAACACCAAAACCTCGTGTACGATGAGAGTAATTGGAGTGACTTGGATTTCAATTTTCATATATGCTAAGAAGATGACTGGATGGGTTAGTCATTAATTATTTGCTTATTAATTCCTTTTCCTTAATCATACAATTTTAATGGATATTTAATTTTTCTGCAGATGTATTTTGCTTCTAAGATATTGGCAGAAAAAGCTGCATGGGAAGCAACTAAAGCAAAGAATATAGAGTTTATTAGTATTATACCAACGTTAGTTGTAGGTCCATTCATCACTCCAACATTTCCACCAAGCCTAATTACTGCCCTTTCACTAATTACAGGTATGACTTTTTTCACTTTGGTTTAAGTTCTCGCCCGATGATGTAAAAAATACATACACAATCAATATAACGAACAATCTATTATAAGCATTGATGGAAAATAATGAGTAATCTATCATAACTGATTATTCCTTACATTCAGGGAATTTTGCGCTTTTACTCCCTAAAATTTACTAATGAATTTTGATTTTCATTGTTGTAATGACTAATTAAGTACATTTAACTTTCAATTATTAGAAATGTACTTTTGATCCCTCTGCTGTTTAAATCTTCACAAATTAATTTTTACCGATCGCGCGAAGTTAAGTGACCAATCCACTCTTTTTATATACTATCGGTATATAAAATTAGATAGGGCAGAGTAATAGTAAACCATTCCATATTTCTTTTTAAACTTTTAAAAAAAAATAACTTTAATTCTGATCGAGGCATATGCAGGGAATGAAGCACACTATTCAATTATCAAACAAGGTAAATATGTGCATTTGGATGATCTTTGTGAGGCTCGCATATTCTTGTATGAGCATCCCAAAGCACAAGGAAGATTCCTTTGCTCTTCAGATCATGCAATCATAGACTAGGTCGCTGGAGGCGGATCTAGGATTTCAAGCTTATGGTTCGAGATTCTAATCGTTAAAAGTTACTGGTTTTAAATTAATCATTTATACATATTCAATAAATTTTGTAAGACAAACACAAGGTTCAAATCAAAGTTACTGGGTCCGGCCGAACCCGGTCCCAACACTCTACCTTCGCCACTGAACGTCTCAAAGATGGTCCGAGAGAAATGGCCAGAGTACTGTCCCTTCTGAGTAAGCCTCTCCTCCATTCTTATGTTATAATACCTCGAGTAAAAATTTATCCGCATCAAATATTTATATAAAATCATACTGAACGTATCATAGTTAAGTGACAATTAAATTAGCTGAAAATGCGTATTAACTAGCTATGTATGTGAAGATACATTATGTGCACGTATTCGTTGGTTGGGATAAACAATTAAACACTACGTGTGAGTTCTAAAAAACGAATTGCAAATTCTTCGTTCTCAAATGATATATAACCAAAATAATGGGCTCATTCTATGTATGAGAATTTTTTAGAAATAGCTTATAACTGCTAATTCAAAATTTGCACAGTTTTAAAAGTAATCGAAATTTAGCCATTTTTTCATGTAAAAAATAAATCTGAACAAAAAATACCCTTAAAAATCCGAAAAAATTTCAACATGGAGTTCGATTTTTTTTACATATGAGATCCGGGTATAATATGTTGTAATTTCATAATGTGCTGGAGTTCCAACATAATATGCTAGAAGTTTATACACAGGAACTCCATAATACAACATATTTTGCTGGAACTTTCTGTGTTTTAGCTAGGGTATTTTTGTCTAGATTTTATCTCCTTATAAAATAGTGGCTATTTTTCAATTACTTTGTAAATGCTGACTATTTTTCGATCACTAAGTTCAAAAACTGGCTTGCCCATATTATTTTAACCTATGTATGTGAAGCTACATTATATTACGTATTCATTGGTTGGGATAAACATATATTAAGTCTGAGTAAAAAAAAACAGAATTACAAATTCCTTGTTCTCAAATGATGTATAACCAAAATAATGAGCTCATTAGTATTTGTACAAAGAAAATGTGAACATGGCTTGATCACAATCTTGGGGAATTGACAGGTTTAAGGACATTGATAAGGACTTGCCCGTCGCTAGTTTTTCATCAAAGAAGCTGACAGATATGGGTTTTCAATTCAAGTACAATTTAAAGGGATTACTTATTCTACCCAAAGTCCGGCCGGCAAAACAGTGACGGATCCAGAATTTTGATAACGTATATAGGGTGCACCACTACCTTTAACATATACATTCAACTTGACTATATGAAATTTAACTCGATAACAATATAACAAGCAAACTATAGTTTATACTATCATGGTAATATTGTATGTTTTACAGATTTGATTGGTGTCCATAATCACATTCGTACCAGATTACACATTTACAAGGGCTAACAGGAGCGGAACTAGTGCAAAGGTTACAGGGTCACATGAACACAATGACTTTTGGCTCAACCTTGTATTTGTACTAAAAGTTTTTTAAATGTATAAGAATATTTAGCTTGAAAGCTAGTTCGTTGGTTATTATTTTGATATTATTATAGGAACCTATAAACTTAAAATCCTAGATCCGCTTCTGTAATCATACACATCAATTTTACTGCAGAAACTCCAGAAGGCTTCAACCAGGGGCTTTTTAATACCATCAAATATTTGCAATTGAAAAGGACAGAATTATTGCACTTTAACCAATTTTAGCCTCCTTTAGTCTGACTTGGCACAATTTTACTGCTGAATGTTGCCCGATCGTTTCCTGTATATGCTCATAATTTTGGCTACAAATTCTGCAACCATAGATATAAATCCCATAAACATTAACGTAGGTAAGAAGAAGGTAATAATAAGATAATCAGTATCCAGAGTTCTATGCATACCATTATTTATATACGGAGGTGAATTCAAAATTTAAACTCAGTAAGTTCCGAATAAGAGATCGTGAAAATGATTAATCTATTAGGTGTTTAATCATCAAGATGTTATTGTTGAGCTTCTCCTGTATATATAATGGTTCACCCAACTGATTTATTTAACAGAACGTGATCATGTTATATATTGGGTTGAAATCAAGTTGACTATACTGTTATTTACACAAATGGATAACAATCTCAACATCTTTATCATATAACACCACCAAATTATAAATGGTACTAAAATTGATGCTATTTGAGCATACCAGATGATTAGCATTAACAGACCATTCTAGGTAGAAAATGGGCGGGTGGATGGGCGGGTCGAAAATGGATTAACAAAAACGGATAAAATATCCAACCCGTCCATATTTAAAATACATATAAAATTGAGTTAACAGAAGAATAAGATTTAGTTTTCCTTGCTCTCGAGTTTTAGATCCCCTGCTACCAGAGACGAAGCTATATGGTCCGAAGGGAGTTCAATTGAATCCCCTTATCGGCAAAATAAGGTAAGGTCAAATTTTCTTGTTTATACATAAATTTTGAATCCTCTTAATATTAGGAAACTTCTAGTTACAACGGTAAATGTGGCTCAAAAATTGCTTTAGTAGGTCGCATGTTTGAATTTCAAGTATGTTATTCTTATATTTTCAGAACTCATAACTAAACAATGTAAATTAAGAATGGAGAATCGTGCAAAAAATGTATGTAAGATTATCTTCATTTTCTAGAAAAGTATGAATAAGTAAGAAATTAAAAAGTACCTTCTAATTTTAAGAGAGCGCTTGTTCCAATTGGGAGTCTTTTGTCCTGAAAATGGCCTTGGGTTACTCCATATATTAGTTTTTCTCAAATAAAAATTGAAAAATAAAGGGGTAGAACTTACATAATAAGCATGCCAATAATATATTTCCCTTTTTAAACCTCCATCAACCCTCTTAAGGAATTGTTCAACAAGTTTCTGTGTGCATTGAACAAAAATCAGAATCATGTCATGGAAATTCGTTATATGCTACATCTTCAACATATATAAAACTATATGTATTTTACCAGGAGTATAAGTTTTGGGTGCACAAACTCGACTAGGAGTTTTTGGAACTTGCCCCGAATAGAAAATAACCTGATCAAACCAATACACACTGTGAATTTCAATATTTCCATAAATGGGTTATGAAATTCACTAAATAAGTACATATAATAAACTGTGAACCTAATAGCATAAATGGGTTATGAGTTCGGTGACAAGCAAGGGGGCACCAAAACTCATAAATTTTAAATTAATTCTAGATCCGCCTCTGTCTAGAAAAAAACATAAAACAAGACTATTTATTTTGTTAAAATGAGTCTGAAATTGCCCCTTAATGCGTAAGATGAATATCCAAGTTCCTGATTACCAATATGTTCGGTTTAATGGAACAAGAATTTCCTAACAAACAAAAAGAAGGGAGAAAAAGATAAAACAAGAAAGAAACTAATACCTTGTTGGAGTTGGATCAGTTAGAATTTCCGCTGCAAGTTCTAGTACAGATTCTTCCCATCCTACTGAAATTGGTTGATCCTCAGCAAAAGGATAGCTGTATAAGTGAGGGTATAATTAAGTGCTTTTAACACATTTTCCCGATCGGCTAAAACCAATTATAGCCGCTAGCCAAATATATAATAAATATACATCGATAATGTATAAAATATGTATATTACACTTTTATATACAAATAATATACATTTGTCGGCTATTATTTTGGGGGAGACTATACAGTGTAGATTTCCCTATCACTAATACATAACCTAGCAAGCAGATTGTGCGTTAATAATAGTCTTACTTGTGTGCTTTGCAGGCTTCAAGAGCCATTATTGCTCTTCTCATGTTTTGCTTTGATTTTGTAGCTATTTTAGCAGCAAAGCCCCTAGATAGTTCAAGGTCTTCTTTTCTTGATATCTCAATGAGAACTTCCACAATCTACCCAAAGCAAAGAAAACGTAATGAGTAGATGTGATTATGGTTAAAGCTTAAGGCGTGTATCCCTCGAAATTCAACAAGCTCTTCTAGTGTAAACAAAGAGCAGAAACAACAGAAATTGATAAGAAAGCCTGAGTATGTAGAAAATAAGTTGGCAAGCACAATAATTCCAGCTTGTGTTAGCTCGTTTTAGGGAGAGTTCAGGTTACATTTGGACACGATATTATCATAACTACTCTTTTAGTATGAAATAGAAACTTTATAAGGTGCTACTCTTTACATTTGTGCTAGAATATTGCATTTTGTAGTTCCTCCTATGTTTGTTTTGATGTTTTGGAGGCAGACAGATTAGGAATTATGTATTTGAGAAGTACTACGCTATGTGCTGATGTTACTTAGTATATAATATATTACTCTTTTGAATGAAAAAATTGGTGAAAACAAATGCAGTCCTATTGTAGGCTACACATCAGGTTGGAACAGAGAGCTGCCACTACATTAAGAGCTACTAATTTGCCACAAACATTGGCCCCAAGTAGTTGCTATATAGGTTAATATTAAACCTGTAGTCAAAACGTACGCATGATTCTCGTCTCTAATTTGGCCTAAATGCTCTTAAGTAGTGTACAAAACTGTTAGGGAAAAATAATATCCACGATAATAATGATACAAGAGAGTAACAATGATACCAAATCATTTAACGGGGTAAAATACAATACCCAAGAAGAGCAATATAATATCACTATAATATTATAACTTTGTAGTGTCAAAAAATTACTACGACTCAAAAGAAATAACACTCTTTATTTTAAATATCTCACCACAATATTACTCCCACTCTATTTTCTCACAGATTATAAATTACTCGCACAGCTCTAATACTTTTTTTTTTTTTGTGGTGTATTTGAGATGAAACTGAATGACTCTATTTATAAGAGAATGATTCGTCTAATTCAGTCAATCAAATTTGACTTTTGCAATTGCAAAATGCAAATTACTCACAGGCGCCCACAATTGCTTGACATTGCATTTCTTGTGTGCCTACAATGCTTGACCTTTAATTTTAACTTGCATTCCTTTTGCTTTTGCTTTTCTAAATCATTTTCTCTTTCTTTTCTTTATTCCTTTTGTATTTAAATAGGTCCCACAAATTTTCCCCTTAATTTTGATTTTTCTTCTTCATTCTAAGATTTGATCTCAATCTCTCGAAATCTTCAAACTTGAGAGGTTTGGTAAATATATCTGCAACTTGATCATGGGACTTCACATATTTAAGCTCGACTTCCTTCTTGGCAATGCATTCTCTGATGAAGTGATAACTTGTATCTATATGCTTGCTTCGATCATGATACACCGGATTCTTGGCAAGTGCATGTGCGGATTTGTTGTCAATACAAATCTCCATAGCTTCAATTTATGGCAAATTGAGCTCCTTTAATAATCTTCTCAGCCAAATAGCATGACAGGTACATGACATTGCTGTTACATATTCGACTTCACAGGTCGAGAGAGTAACATTGGACTTTTTTTTGAACTCCAAGAAATAACAGAATCACCCAAGAAAAATACAAAACCACTTGTGCTTTTTCTATCATCAATATCTACCGCATAATCACTATCACAAAATCCCATAAGGTTGAAATCATTAGAAGAAGAATAAAATAACTCATAGTCGATCGTACCTTTTAGGTAACGAAAAATTCTTCTAGTGACCTTCAAGTGAGTGGTGGTAGGAGCTTCCATGAAGCGACTTACTACTCCAACTGCAAAGAGTATATCTAGCCTGGTACAAGTCAAGTACCTCAAACTTCCCAAAAAGGCTTTTAAAAAATATGGGATTCACTTTTTCTCCTTCATCAAACTTGGATAATTTTACTCCACTCTCCATCGGTGTGTTCACGGGGTTACAATCGAACATGTTGAATTTTTTCAATATCTCTTTTGCATAGCTTTCTTGAGAGATAAAATTCCATTCTCCATCTGCTTCATTTCTAGGCCCAGGTAATATGACATGAGCCCTACGTCTGTCATCTCGAACTCACAGGACATATCTTTCTTAAAAGCTTCAAACAAACTTGGATTATTACCCGTGAAAATAAGATCATCAACATGAAGACAAACAAGCAAGATATCTCCAATAGTATGAACTTTAAGATAAAGAGCATATTCATCGAGACAATGAGTATACCCAATGTCTTGAAAATACTTGTCGATGCAACTATTCCATACTCATGGGGCTTGCTTTAATCCATATAAAGTTTTTTTCAACCGCAACACTTTATCTTAATGGTTTTTGACCACAAAGCCCAATGGTTGTTCAACATAGACTCTTCTTCAAGATAGCCATTTAAGAAGGCTGATTTGACGTCTAGTTGATGGATCTTCCACTTCATTTGCACCGCCAAAGAGATGAGCAAACGAATTATCTCCATGCGGGCAACAACTGCATAGACTTCTTCATAGTCAATGCCTTGCCTTTGCTTGTAGCCTTTAGCCACAAGTCGTACCTTGTATCTCTTCATATCTCCATCAGCATTCTTCTTTGTCTTGTATACCCATTTTACTCCAATTGCGCGATGACACTTGGGAAGAGTTGTTAACTCCCAAGTATTATTCTTCTCTATTGACTCGATTTCCTCCTCCATGGCTTGTCTTCACATTTTGTCTGTAACAGTTTCATCAAAGTTTATTGATTCACTATCAGCAAAGAGACAATATAAAAAATCAAAATTAGTAACTTTTTTCGTGCCATCATAGAGCTCTTGAAAACTCCTTGTCCTTTGCGGTTGCTTATTTGAACTTTGTTGAGAAGAAGGAGATGCAACATTAGTTGGAGAAGGAGGTGGAGTTGTATCCTGCACAAGTTCCACTGCTCCGGTTCTTCTTCATTACCAAAGTATGGAAGAAAATCTTATGAAGTTTCTTCCTGAGCTTCCCAATTCCATGTCAATTCTTCATCAAATTTAACATCACGACTCACCACCACCTTGCCGCTACTTGGGTTGTATAGCTTGTAACCTTTTAAACTTGTATCATAGCCAACAAACACATGCTTGACACTTCGATCGTCAAGCTTCTCTCTCCCTTAATGTGGCACATGAGCATAGGCTATGCTCCCAAAGATTCTCAAGTGCTTGACACTTTGGCTTTCTTCCACTCCATGCTTCTTGAGGGGTTTGATCTCTAACATTCCTTGTTGGAGACCTGTTGTTCAAATAAACTGCATAAGAAACAGTTTCGGCCCAAAATTCCTTGGGCATACTTTTAGCTTTCAACATACATCTAGCCATATTAAGAATCGTTCGATTCTTTCTCTCTGCAACTCCATTTTGTTGGGGTGAATAAGGTACCGTTATAGGGCGACCAATTTCATGAGACTGACAAAATTTATTAAATTCTTTTGAAGTGAATTCGCCTCCTCTATCGGACCTTAAAGCTTTTATTTCATAGCCACTTTCTTTTTCACAAGTACTTTGAAATTTTTAACCGCAGCAAAAGTTTTAAATTTTTGGTTCAAGAAATAAATCCAAGTCTTTCTACTAAAGTCATCAATGAAAAGCAGAAAGTATTTACTTTTACCAAAGGAAGGTGTATTGATTGGTCCACACACGTCAGTGTGAGCAAACTGGAGCGGTTTGGTTGATCTTGACATGGCCTCATTTTGAAAACTCCTCCTTGCATGTTTTCCAAGAAGACAAGCTTCACACAATTGATTGGGATAGTTGATTGATGGTATCCCATGCACCATGTTCTTTTCTCTCATTGATTTGAGCACTTCAAAATTCAAGTGCCCAAATCGCATGTGCCAACACCATGATTCATCTTGCACATTAGCCTTCAAACACTTTGCATTAATTGTCTTAAAATTCAGAGAAAATAATTTATTCTTTGCCATATGCACTTTAGCAATTAGAATTTCACTTGAATCTCTAAGCCAAAGATGCATATTTTTCATGTGGAAGTCATATTCCTTTTCAAGAAGTTGGCCCAAATTCAAAATATTACTTTTTTATTTTGGGACATAATAAACATCTTGAATTAGCTTGTGACTACCCTCTTTACAGGAGATCAGAATCATACCTATCCCTTCGATTTGAATCTTTGAGGTATCTCCAAAAGACACATTACCTCTCACCGTTTTATTGATCTTCACAAACTTCTCTTTGCATCCACATATATGATTTCTTGCTCTATTGTCCAAATACGACGAGCTACAATCATCCATGTATTCTTCCTTGAGTGTCAGCAACAACGTTGACTTATCTTTTTCTTTCTTGTCGTCAATAAGGTTAGATTTTTCTTCTACATTGGTACGACATTCCCAAGAGTAATGTCCAAATTTATGAAAATTATAACATTTAATTTTTGATTTGTCATACCTTTGTCCATTATTTTCTTGGTAGTAGCCACATCCTCTTCCTCCTCTTTGTCCACGACCACGACTTCTGAATGTTTGGTGAATTTTAACTTCATTGTTGAAGTTGTTACAGTTACTTATTCCTCTTCCATGACCACAACGGCCTCATCCTCATCCGTTTCCTCGATAACTCTTTTCACCTCCATGGTCCTTAAAGGATGCGTGAGTTTTAAGAAGTTGCTCCAATGATACTTCTTGTCTCCCTTTGATTTTTTCTTCGTGGGCCTATAAAGAATCCTCCAATTGCTCTACCATCATAGAGTCTAAATCTTTAGACTCCTCAATAGCACACATCACAAAATCAAATTTAGATGTTAAAGTGCGAAGGATCTTTTCTACCATACAAACATCTTCTACGTACTCCCNNTGAAGTTTTACTTTCCTCACCTTGTCAACTCCTTGAAGAGAATTTTGTAAAATCTCCCAAGCTTCCTTTGAGGTGGTAGCATCTACCACCTTCTCAAATATGGCATCATCCAAACATTGGTGGATGAGCGTGAGGGCTTGTTGATCCTTCTTCCTTATCTTTGCCAAGACATCTTTTTCATTTTGAGACAGAGCTTCCTCATTATCGGGTTTTGCATATCATCTACGTACGATTTCTCACACATCTTGGGAGCCAAGAATGACTTTCATACGTAGAGACCATTTCTCATAATTATCTTTTGTGAGATGGGGGTACTGAAAAGACAGCGGACCATTATTCGCCATGGCTCTAATACTGCGTTGTTGGAAAAAATAATATCCCGTCCAGGAATAATATCCACGATAATAATGACACAAGAGAGTAACAATGACACCAAATCTTTTAGCGGGATAAAATACAATACTCGAGAGAAGCAATATAATACCACTATAATATTACAATTTTGTAGTGTCAAAAGACTACTACGACTCAAAAGAAATAACACTCTTTATTTTAAATATCTCACCACAATATTATTTCCACTCTATTTTCTCACAGACTATAAATTACTCTCACAGCTCTAATACTTCTCTCTTATTTTTTTTTGGTGTATTTGAGATGAAACTAAATGGCTCTATTTATAAGGGAAAGATTCGTTCAATTCAGCCAATCAAATTTGACTTTTACAATTGCAAAATGCAAATTGCTCATAGACACCCATAATTGCTTGACATTGCATTCTTTGTCCGCCTATAATGCTTGACCTTTGATTTCAACTTGCATTCCTTTTGCTTTTCCTTTTCCTTTTCTAAATCATTTTCTCTTTCTTTTCTTTATTCCTTTTTTTTCTTTAAATAGGTCCCACAAAAACATGACTAACAATATCCTAGATTCATGATTCAAATAAAATAATACTATAATGATTAAAATTTTGTACACTTACTTCATGAGTTGCTGGAGCTTCAACTTCAATAACCGTGCAGCGACTTCTCACTAACTCGAGTATAGATGCATCACTTTCACTGAAGAGAATGAGCTTACAAGCATCTGAATTACAGTCGATGATCCATTTTATTAAGTGTTGCATGTTCTCCTCAGATTTATCCACGTCGTAAAGAACTAATACTGTAAATGTAATATCTAATTAGGCTAAAACTGAAGTGATGCAATGTGATAAAATCTTTCATGTATTGTTGATATGAACCTTTGGAATCTGCCTTCATATTAATCCTGCTTACTTCCGGGGTTAGTGCAAATTCACTGCTTATTTGCTTAACCAAAGCCAATAATGCAAATCTAGCATTGGGCTCTAAATGAACATTGAGCTCAATATGGTGAGGACTTGAGCTTACTGGTACAATGACTTGAACTGGCTTCGTTTCCTGTCAATAGAAAGGAGAAAGAAGAGAGTTAAGAAGTAGAGACAATGTCATATTACTAACAAATCAGAAGAGTTCAAATTCATTAACATTTAAATTTAAACATTAGGAATTGTAGCCAAATGTACCTGGATGTGGAAGTATTTCAGATCATGCGATATCTGCAAAAAATTAACATAAAATGGTGGGATAGTTCTAGTAATGAACCCAAAAAAGAAAATGTAGCCTAGTGTTGCATCTTTTCAAAACAAGCTTACTTACATTGCAAATTGCATCGCCATAGATTTCACGCAAAAGAGCTATCGATAATGCTCTTTTACCAGATCCCGGAGGACCCTTGAACAAGATGTGTGGGAGTGGTTCATTTGAAGAAACCTAAGAGGAAACGTGTTAGTAAACATTGAACTTATATAAGTGACTTGATTGTGTTAAAAAAAATTATATACAACGTCAAGCATAGAACTTAAACTATTATGAGTTTAAATAATATACATCAACAATGCGAAGAAATTCTACATTGTCAAATCACTTAAAAGGAAATTGCAGCTAACTGTTTACAGAAAATATGGATTCATAATCTATAAAACTTGGAAAATAACTTATTTCAGCAGGTAAAACCACACTGATAAAGCAAAATTTCTGGTGTACAAAAGTTAAAACTCATTCTTTTATTATTGTCTTCCTGTTTACTTTCCTTTAATCAACTAATGTCCCAAAAAGTTTCACACTTCATAGAACTACAACTATATATAATTCATTCGATTATACTACATTTATCCGATCACAGACGGGGAATAACAGTACAATTATCTTTGTATGACCTATAGGTCACAAGTTCGAACAGTGGAATCAGATGCTTGCGCTAGGGTGGGCTGCCTACATTACACCCTCTTGGAGTGTGATCCTTCCCTGGACTTTGCGTGAACGTGATATGTTTCGTGCACCGAGCTGCCCTTTTTATCCGATCATAGCGGACTAAAAAGGCTCCAAATATTAACATGTGTAAACCAATTCTTTATCGTCTACGTGCCCGGTCAAACTATGTCATAAAACTGAAAGTACATTGATAATATTTCATGTATAAGGAAAGGGAATTAGATCTTTTTTATCAATCTGAAAGCTAAGGCACTTACAAGATGACTAAGTAGTAAAGCTTGTTGCTTGTTGCAAATGAATCCATCCAATGAAGTTGGTTGATGTTTATCAGCCCAAAATTGTCTCAAACTTTCAACAACAAATGCCTTGTCAATTACTGAAGCTTCATTAATAAGCCTCCCTCTTTCTGGAGATTGATCTTTTCTTGATTTTCTACAAGATCCATTCTTTATACAAGAAAACCATTCTTCTGTTTGACTACTACTCTTTTTCCTATTTGCTGTGAAGTTTTTTGCACTTCTACTCGTCCTTGTTGTAGCATTACTTAGTTTACTGCTCTGCCTACTTATAGCAGAACTCGGATTCGTAGTTGCTGTTCGTGTCACAATAGTACTAGATGAAATAATTCCCCTGTCACTCTGATTGAAATTTGCGGACATTTTATTCACACAACTGACATTTCTATCAGTCGATACCTGAGGCATTGAAATGGAATTGCTTGTTACAATAGTGCTAGTTGAAATTCCCCTTCCATTTTGACTGAAATTCGCGGGCGTCTTATTAACAGAACTGACATTTTTATCAGTCGATACCCGAGGCATTGAATTGAATTTGCTATGTGTGACACTATTTTCAGGGATGGTAATTTTTTCGATGGTAAAAGCTGAATATTCCTTAGTAAAGAAAACATCACTTGGTGAAATAGATTCAGTGCTTTGAAACATATTATTCACACCAGCTGGAATATTGGAGCCTCTTGAGATCTTTGCATTGGCTAATATTACATTCATTTCACCTACAGAAGACAAGGTCCTCGACGTTGGGGATCGTGTTATTTCTGTTCTTCTTCGATCCTTGGACGTGTCAAAAAGAGCAGGTCTAGGAGCGGATATAGCCCTGCGACTATAATTTGCTTTGGCACGGATTGCAACCTCATTTTTTAGTAGTACTATGTTATTTTGCTTTCTAGTTGAACTCGAAAAGCTTTGCTTGTCAAGGTGATGTTCCTCTTTTGAATTCTCTCTCCTGGATATATGTACTGAATTATGTCTACGTCGATATTCAGATTTTGAAAAAGGACTAACATCTCTACGAACATTTGAATGTGAAGGTGGTCTACGATATTCGGATTTTGAAAAGGGACTTACATTTCTACGAGCATTTGAATGTGAAGGTGGTCTACGATATTCGGATTTTGAAAAGGGACTTACATTTCTACGAGCATTTGAATGTGAAGGTGGTCTACGATATTCGGATTTTGAAAAGGGACTTACATTTCTACGAGCATTTGAATGTGAAAATGGAGTAATAACATGTTGTGCACGTAGAGCAAGTCGACGAAAATGAACATCACCTTCATCTCTGCGCGATTTATACGGGGATTTGCTTGGCCTTCTCGGGTTTATACTCGAATATTTGTTCTTCGCTTGATCAAAAGCTAATACATTTTGCTGTTGGGATTCAGTGTCAATAATTATATCAACATTCTTTGTATTTAGTTCCAGGCTTGGACTTTCCTGCCAATCGGTCTCTGTATCAGATGGCTCATATCCGCTTCGCCTTTGCTTTACAGAGGACGAATTTTTAACTTGTAACGCTCTGTTAGAAGCAGAATAACTCTCCATTTTAGCAGAAATTTTCTTGGAAACTTTGGTTTGGATATTGGAATTTCAAAGAATATTCTGTTTTAAAGAAGCTTTTGGACAAGAAATACTACCTAGGATTGGTAACTAACGAGAATATCACCAGCTAGTATTTGCCGAAAAACACTAGAAAAAGATTTGAAATATTCCAGCTTTTTTCGGCTGACATTCTAAGTGGGACCAAGAGTGAATAGAACTAGGAAAACATCGGGTAAAATGATGGACAAGTCTCGTACCTCCCGTTCATATCATTTGTCTAATGTTTTTATGCACTCTATTAAAGAAAGACATTTAAAAAATTTCAAAAACTTTTGGCCAAAAATATTTCACCTTGCTATCCCTTCAAACTGCCCAAAAAGAACTTTCATCGGTAGTGACGTTTATGAAGGATCAACCCTTTGAATTTTTGAGTTCTTGGCATATATTTACGTTTAAACATATGGGTTTCCCACATAATATATACTCTATATTTCCCACATAATATATACTCTATATTTAGGTTAAAACAGTCATCTTTACTGCTTAGAAAATGTACGAATATATAATGATAACTACAAAATATATACAAGATAGAGGAGCGAAAACTCCCTGCACGTACCTAGAATGGTGTTTACCCGTAAAGAGACAGTTGAATTTGTATAAGTAGTTTATATACCATTTTAATGTTATTTTTTTTCAACCAGTGTCTTGCTTTTAAATTTGTTTCTCCAATCTTTGTGTCCCCGAAATTTACATAATACCGATCATATGTCTGTATCCGGTGTTAGTTGACTGCTGACTCATCTCTAAACCTGTCATCACTGTTACGTGTCTGCTCGAGAGATGTCCACATGTAAACTCTAAATTTTACCAAATACAAATAGTCTCCCTACTTTCTAGTGACTCAATTTGATGTGACCGGAAGTAAAAAAGACCTTATTCCTTGGAGCACTACTAGAAATTCGGGAAAAATCGTCCAAAAAAATGACCAAAGTAGGTCGGTAATGGCCAATAACCGTCCAAAATGCGATCATTAACGTGTGGTCGGTATTTTGAAGGTTAGAAGAGCATATCGACCAACTATGGTCGGTCAATTAAATTCAAAAAAAAAATTGCCGAAAAAATCGACCAAAGTTGGTCGGTTTTTTCCGACCAAAGTCAGTCAGTATTTTAATTATGTAATTAAAAAGTACACCATCTGGGAATCGAATCGGGGTCTATACTGTGGCAGGATACTATTCTACCACTAGACCATTAGTGCATTTTATTTTAAAACTGTCTTTTATTTTATTTATACTCTTTAATTGTATTTTCGCACGAAAATAACCGATCAATGTCGGTCGGTTTTATTAAAAAATAAAATTACCGACCGAATTCGGTAGGTTTGTTAAAATGACCTGCCGAATTAACAAATCGATTGTGGTTGGTTTTTTTAACATTAATTTTAATTTATTTTAAATGAAAAATCGACCAAAGTTGGTCTGTTTCTTGAAAAATGAATTTTACGGGGCTCAAAAATAGTTTTCCGCATTTTTGCGCCAAAGAAAACCGACCAAAATTGGTCGGTTTCATAAAAAATAAAATTAAAAATAAAATATTTTGAAAAATCGATTGATTTTGGTCGATTTTTTGGCCGGTTTTTTGACCGACCAAAATTGGTCGGAAGACCGCGTCGGTTTTGCCGAATTTCTAGTAGTGGCTGGAAAGTTTTTGAATGTCTTCTGACACTTGAAAGGACACACGTCTCTTTGCATTTAATGAGCTTGACACGTGCCTTTCCATGATTTGACGAACAGTTTTGCCAGTTACCAAGGTGATGATGACTTTGCTTTGTGAACCGCCTATAAAATTACCCTTCTCATCACTTTTACTTTACTCTTTTCCAAATTTCTTCATCAAATTCTTCAATTCTCTGCAACTTCTCCTTCTATTCCGATTTTCAATAGCAAATTTTTCTGCTTCTGTCATTACACTTTAATCTATTTCATAACGTCTTCTGCTATTTCAATCTCCAGCAACTCATCTATTGTCGTTAAACAACACGATCTCATAGTGGTCATGACTTAACCCCTTTCATCAATCGCCAGCGCCGGGACTTACATCGACGGGGAACCGTAAAAAAAAAAAAAAAAGCAAACCCAAAAGTACCGATGTTGAGCCTCCTACCACGAGCACGATCATTCCTAAATAATGGTCTTTTATCAAGAATCTTTACAGCTAGAAAATATCTTCTAATCCAAACAATGACAGGGACAGAGCAACTAGTGAGTTTTCTTCGTCCATTCGGCCGTCCAGTATTCCTATTGTCAAGGAGGACTGCGGCTGGAAAAATATCAAAGTGTTGGCTCCACCTGACGTGGAGAGGGTGACTTTCAGCAAATCATGGTATATTTTTATTTATACATACCCTTTTACCCTTAGGCTTGGAAAAAGAGATTGACCCCTTTATCCTCGAGTTTTACCGAAGTTACCAAGTCTGTTTAGCTCAAGTAGGTCTACCAATATGGCATACATTAGCGTGTCTCCGGTATCTATCCTCCCGGCATAAAAAAAATCTCACTCTTACGCATTTAATTCGTCTTTATGATCAAAAACGCTTTCGAGGATGCGTGATCAAACTCAATAAATGTGGTCACAAAGCCATCATTACGAGTGTGAATAATGACCATGACCGTGGAACCTCGCATCTACACACTGTATAAGTGTGAACTAGATGTATTAAGCCATAACCATCACCCAAGATGCAATCACGTGATATACCATATAACTCAAATACTCATAGCAATAATTCTGACCGCAATAGATGCTCGATAACCAACTCGACACCGGTAACAAACCTCATATCAAATAAAACCTCATTCAAAACCTTAATACACTGCCAATGATGAAAGAAACATACAGAAACTTATAACCACTTTATTAGATCCACAAGTCTTGGAGCTCCCTCTCGTCCGACAAGAAACAAAGCCAATTCCTGGGCAAACTTCCGATATTATTCTTCCATAATCAAATCTGATAGTATCCATTCTAGGTCCAATGACCTCATCTCATCAAACAGAACTACTCTAGTGACTTGCCACATCAATACAACCTAAAGCCACAAACCGTGCAATTCGTGCACCAATAAGCAACAACCCAAATGTACTCAATCATGGAAAAATGACTCAAGCGAGAAAACCATCCCACAAGTTCAACAAGTACCACCACAACCGCAGTGCTACGAACCTATCATACATAGTAGAACCAAGACACATGAATCTAACACAAAGGATCATATCTCGACATAACCCGGCTGCAATGCGTGACCCCATCCAGAAATTGGTCCACATGAAAGGCCGCAAGTCACAATGCTCAAAGTCAATAACCTCGCACAATTTGACGTCTAGTACCGAAAGTGCATAACCATGAAGAAGAGAATAACACAATATACCACAGTCCGGAGAGAACATAACCAAGGTATAATCAACCATTCGACACCCCAATAACCATCTCGCTCAAATCCCGCTAAAGTCCCAAACAGAACCGCACCATGTGTGCTTATAACCAACAAATCATAACCCCTCGTGGCATAGAAGGGGTAACCCATAGAACATATCAGAACATTAATACGCTTAACTCTGGTTGACCCCTCAATAATAGCAGTATAGAGTTAACCAATCTGACCCAGTGTAGAATACACATCCTTATTGGGCCTATCAATGGACCCCTAATCAACTCTGGTCACCCACAAAAAGATACATAATCCTTTGAAAGTCAACAATGACTGAATCATAACAGATACTCTCATCTGGATAGCTTTGGCCGCAACTTCAAAGTCCATAACCATGAAACACTCTGCTACTGAGAACTCTCAGTCTCTAAATTCATAAAACACACGAATCATCATATCTGTTTCCAACTCCACCACTCGAATGTCTAACACATCTCACATACACGACCATCCCACAAGGAATACGTCTATAGTTCGTCCGTGCCACATAGCAAAATCTGAATATCAGCAGTCGGTCAACCATGCGAGTACCACAATACCAATGAAGCATCCATAAATCAACACTCAATGCGTCTTCTGAAATACGCACCCTTCTCAGGAATTACCATGCATTTATAACATGCATCTATATGTCTGAAACTGTCCATGTTGTCCAAAATTCACTACCTTCCCTCCAAATATTAACCGTGACCTTGCACATGCAAAACTCAATCCTACACAACACACCACATCTATCATGCCATCATATGAAACTTACGTGAATCTTATAATCAACTCTAAGTCACACGCAGAATACATACTCGATCAGTTAGAAACCTTCCAGTTGATCCCATCCTGGAGAAAATCACAATACGCAACATGCTCCTCACACCGGTAGGAAATATCCATCTTAAGCTATGATAGAAACCATCAGAACTCTTCGAAATTCATTTGCCCATAACCAAACCATCAGAACTGAATCTCTCTAACTCAACCAAGCCACGCATGTCGCCAAACCTAAGAGTATTGCCACAAAATACCTGTAGAGACTCACCACATCATAAGTACCCAAAGAATTGTTCATATCCATTACTATGCTGATCCAAACTACTACCAGGTTATCCTATTTCTTCGAGTTCCTTCCTAATTACCCTCAAGTTGACACTTTTCCTTGCCAGAACACCACTATCCTTACCCAAAGCTCACCACCGGATATCCTAGCATAAAACCACATCGCCCTAAGGCCTATAAGCCGTCGTATTCCCCCTTAAGCACCCCAAAAGTACCACAACCGAGACACCCACTCTAAATAGACCTTCTGTGAGTATAAAGTTGTTTCCTTCACCCTAATGATACTAAAATGTAGAATCCACAATGATATAGAAATATCGCGAGTCCTGACACCATCCAATGTAAATCTCAGTTTCTAGCCATATACCAATCCGCAAAATTCTCAATTGCTACATATAAAACTTGAATCCATTAGAACCTTTTCGAGAGTCATCCACTACGCTAAAATCTCAATTGCACCGAT